TAAAAGAGTTGGTTCTTTGAAAGATTAAATAAAATTGACAAACCCTTAGCCAACCTTATCAAAAAAAGGAAAGAAAAGACTCAAATCCAGGTAATTAGGAATGAAAAGGGTGAAATCATAACTGATTCTGCAGAAAGTTAGATCAATACCTACTTCAAGAACCTGTATTCTAATAAGATGGAAAACAGAAAAAAATGGACAGATTCCTAGATACATATGAATTACCAAACTGAACCAAGAAGTTATAAAAATTCTAAATAAACCAATATCAGTCAATGAAATTGAAAATGTAATTAAAAACCTAAAAACAGGGGCCGGGGATTTAGCTGAGTGGTTTCACCACCAGCTGCACAAGTGCAAGGACCCGAGTTCAATCCTCGATATCAAAAAAATAATAAAATAAATAAAAACATACCAACAAAAAAAGCCCAGATACTAACAGATTTACTGCTGAATTCTACAAGAAATTTAGAGAAGACCTAATGCTGCTACTCCTGAAACTCTTATTGAAATGCAAAGGGAACCAATACTCTCAAATTTATTCCTCGAAGCAAGCATTACCCTGATACCAAAACCAGAGAAGGATTCAAACAAAAAAGAGAATTACAGGCCAATCACCCTAATGAACATAGATGCAAAAATCCTCAATAAGATACTGACAAACAGAATGCAGCAAATCATCAAGAAGGATGACATTATGACCAAGTAGGATTCATCCTAGGGATGCAGGTATGGTTCAACATATGCAAATCAAATAAATGTAATATACCATATTAACAGATCCAAGGGCAAAAACCATATATGATTCTCTCGATAGATGCAGAAAAAGCGTTTGACAAGGTCCAACACTCATTCATGATTAAAAACCCTACAGAAAATTGGAACAGATGGAACTTTTTCTCAATCTGATAAAAGCCATCTACGATAAACCAACAGCCAACATCATAATAAATGGTCAAAAACTGAAAGCTTTCACTCTAAAATCAGAAACAAGACAAGGATGTCCACTATCACCATCCTTATTCAATACAGTTCTGGAAACATTAGCCAGAACAATTAGACAAGAGATAAAAATAAAAGGAATAAGTAGGGGCCGGGGATTTAGCTCAGTGGCAGCACACCTGCCTTGAAAGCACAAGGTCCTCAGTTTCATCTCTGGTGCCAGGAAAAGAAAAAAAAAACAAACAAACAGCAAAGAGGAATAAGGATAGGAAAGGAAGAAGTTAAATATCACTACTGGTGGATGACATGATACTCTACATGGAAGACCCAAAAGCTCCACCAAATGATTTCTAGATTTAATAACCAAATTCAGTGGCATAGCTGGATACAAAGTCAACACTCAAAAATCAATAGCCTTCCTGCACACCAATAACAAACTCACTGAAAGAGAAATTAGGGAAACAACACTTTTCACAATAGCATCCCAAAAAAATGAAATACCTAGGAATCAATCTAACGAAGAAAATATAAGATCTCTACATTGAAAATTATAGTATTCTAAAAAAGGAGATCAAAGAGGATATCAGAAAATGGAAAGATATACCTTGTTCTTGGGCAGGAAAAACCAATATAGGAAATGGTCATACTTCCAAAATTGTTATACAGATTTAATACAATCCTGATCAAAATACCAATAGTATGTCTCACAGAATTCGATCTTCGGTACCCAAAAAAAAAAAAGACCTGAGGATCAGTGGAACAGACTGGAAGATGCAGAAACAACTCCAGACATACTCAGCCACCTTATCTTTTTTTTTTGGTATCGGGGATCAAACTCAGGACCTTGTGCTTGTGAGGCAGGCAGCAGAACCACTGAGCTAAATCCCCAGCCTAGCCACCTTATCTTTGACAAAGGAGCCAAACACTCTCACTGGAAGATAGCCTCTTTAATAAATGGTGCTGGAAAAAATAAAAATAAATGGTGCTGGAAAAACTGACTTTCCACTTGCCAAAGATTAAAACTAGACCCATGTTTTTCACCATGCACTAAACTAAAATGGAAATGGATCAAGGATCTAAATATTAAAACAGAAACACTTAATCTCCTGGAAGACAGAATAGGTAGAACTCCCGAAGACACTGGTGTAGGCCAAGACTTTATGAACAAAACATTGGTCACATAGGTACTATCACAAAGAATCAACAACTGGGATCTCATCTTATTAAAAAAGCTTTTGCACAGCAAGAGAAACCACCAACAGAGTGAAGAGACAACTCACAAAATGGGAAAAAAAATTTTTCCAGCTGTTCCTCAGAATCTAGAATATATAAAGACCTCAAAAATCAGGACTCTCCCACCAAAATTTAAAGACCCAATCCAAAAGTGGGCAGCTGAAATGAACAGACACTTCTCAGATGAAGAAGTAGAAATGGCAAAAATACGAAAAACTGTTCAACATCATTGGTCATTCGAGAGATGCAAATGAAAACAACTCAGATTCCATCTCACTCCAGAAAGAATGGCTGTTATCAAGAAATCAACCAATAACAAATGCCGGACAGGTTGTGGGGAAAAAGGAACCCTTCTTCACTGTTGGTGGGAGTGTAGACTGGTACAACGGCTGTGGAAATCAGTGTGAAGATTCCTCAAAAAACTAAAACTACAGGTTCTATTTGATCCTGTTATTCCCCTTCTTGGTATCTTCCTGAAAGAATTAAAAGTATCATACTACAGGGCTGGGGATTTAGCTCAGTGGTTTCGCCGCCTGCTGCACAAGCGCAAGGACCCAAGTTCAATCCCTGGTACAAAAAAAAAGAAAAAAAAGCATCATACTACAGTGATACATGTACACCCATGTTTATAATGGCACAGTCTGTAATAGCTAAATCTTGGAAACAGCCCAAATGCCCATCAACTGATGAATGGATAAAGAAAATGTGGTGGTTTTTTTACACAATGAAGGGCTACTCTGCCATAAAGAAGGGTGAGCTTGAGACATTTATAACTAAATAGACCTTGAGACCATTCTCTTAAGTGAAATAAATCAGACACACGTTTAAATACCGCATTGTTTCTGATGTGAGAAACCAAAAGTGAAAATAAGGACTAAAATGTACAACAGACATTGGGAAATGGGAAGAAAATGATGGGAAGGAGAACAAAGGATGGGGGGAGAGGGAAAGGAAAGAAGGGAGAAGGAAAAAAGAGAAAAATCAAAGGAAAAATGGAAAAGCTTTTGTACATAAGGGGGGAATGAGGAAAAAAAAGAAGCAAAATATATCATGAACTGGTACAAATTCCCTATGATGAATGCTATCATTACGCATCCCTAAAATGTACCAATAAATGTTTTGCAAACAGAACAATTCACCAGTGTAAATTCTTTTTTTTTTTTTTTGGTATGGGGATCGAACTCCATACCTTGCGCTTGCAAGGCAGGCGGTAGAACCACTGAGCTAAATCCCCGGCCCGACCAGTGTAAATTCTGAAGAGAAAATGCAGCAATTTTTCTTGCTTCTCTAGAGACTTAGTCTAAAGTAAGTTTGCTTAAAAAAAAAAACAACTAGTTTTATTATGCAACTACATAATTAATATACCACAGAATTTGCTCAGTTAAATTTGAACCCTGTAAGGGCAATGAATAGCAAAATAACATACCAAGGTAAAATTGTGCCCTTGGAAAAATTAAATTGTTAAAGATAAGGTTTTTCAGGATGCCATCCAGCAGATACCAACACATCACGTCTTCTTTGCCTCATCTATATTGGTATTTTATATCCAGATATTTAATGAAAGATAATAGCGTCACTTGCTCCCCTTACCTCTCTTAGGACTTAACTCACATGATACTCAGTGAGGCCTTCCTTGCAATATATTTAACTTTGCCACACTCCTTCCTATAATCCTCATTTCTTTCTGCCTTTGTTTCTAGATAATGCTGTTATAACATAACAGCTGAGGGTATAACTCAAGCGGCAGAGCACAATCTTTGCATGAGTGAGGCGCTGAGTTTAATCTCCAGTGCCACCAAAAATATATGCTATATAAAATATTTTATTTCACATTTTTTGTTGTTATATTCCACTGTACCTTCATTAAAGATAAAGCCTAGGAGGGGCAAGTACTTTTCTATTTGTTGTACTCATTTTGTGTCTTTATTTTATTTTTTTTTGGTACCAGGGATTGAACTCAGGTCCTTGCGCTTGTGTAGCAGGTGGCAAAACCAGAGCTAAATCCCCGGGCCCCCCCCTCCCACTTTTTTTTTATTTTTTTTTGAGACAGGGTCTCATTATGTAGCCTAAGCTGCCCTAGAGCTCCTGATTCTCCTACCTCAGCTTCCCACATCCTAGGGATACTGGCATATACCACCATCCTCAGCTTCTCTTTTATTCATTTCTATATGCCTGTCGGAGTATTCACTATATAACAAATACTAAATGAGTATCAGTGGTATAAATGAGAAAGCAAAAGTCTAGGACTATTTCATGTAAATGGTGCCAAAGCCTGGCTCTAATGGAAAGTACTGAGAAAATCCTGCCCATTCAATAAATTTCTTATCAATCCAGCCCTTGCCTATACCATAAGTATATATAAATAAAGAAAACAAACAGCTTATCTGTCAGCAAATCAACCTCCCTACAACATGTCTTTAAAATTAGAAAATGTACTTGATTCATACAAGAAGGCAGTCTAAAGGCACATGGTATAAATTATCTACAGTCCAAGTCAGTGCTGATAAGAAACTGTATCATGGGATTTAAGAACTACTCAGATGCAGCTCATTACTAGTGTGAACTATTAGATAAACAAATTTTGCATTAAGAAAGTGATTCTAAGAATATTCTTTAGACTGTTATTTCAGCTTTCCAGAATGCATCAAAAAGCTGAGGAGAAAAGTCTATACTTACATTCTTTGCCACGATTGCTTCCTCTTCCTTTCCGGTTGTTTCCACGTCCACGATTTGCTTCTCTCTCACTTCTCTTCTCTCTATTCTCTTTGTTTTCTGAACTTTCTTTTCCAAAATTCTTTTTCTTCCCCCCTACAGTCTCCCAAGAAGTCTATTAAAAAGAGGAGTTTTTATTCAAAGCTGTTATTCAAAGTATGTATAATTATTGAGGATGCCACAGGAATCTATCAAACTAATAAATACAACTTGCAGGTTACTTGCCTATTATTTTAATTCTTTTCCATATTGTTCCACTTTCTTAATAAGACAGACAACAAACCTCTTCCTAAACTCATGCTGCTACAGTTTACAAATAATTACAGGTATTAGCTGACCTGACAATATGCTGTATGTTTTCCCACCACAGAATTACTTCCTACAATGACTAACGTAAATGTTGCCCAGCATGTGGACTTGCCTATAATCCTAGCACTCCAAGAGGCTGAGGCAGGAGGATCACAAATTGAAGCACAACTTGGACAATTTAGCAAGACCCTGTCTCACAATGAAAAATAAAGGGAAGGAAATGTAGCTCAGGGTGAACTCTTGTATTGGGGAAAGAAAAAAAAATGAAATGTTATTTCCCCAAGCTCCTTCCCTTTGCCACTCCATGTACCTCAGTCGTACAGCTTAACGGTACTGATACATAGATTAATTTACAGAGTACAGAATTACTTAGAATGATGTCCTAAAAGTTCTAAGAATACAACTTTGCCATCCAATTATCCAAGGTGGTGGTGGGGGAGCTAGATTCATCAACGTCTGGGTTGGTTCTTTGTTCCTCTCTTAATGTAAACTTTCAAATCTTCAACCTCAAAGAACTGTTCTAATGAGAAGTCAAATGATTTATATAACCTCCTGTAACGGTAATGCCAAATCTAATCATATGCAGTATTTATGAACTTCTGAGAAGATAATATGATACTACATTCTTAAATATAAGAATATCAAGCACAAAGCTGAGTGTGGTGGCACATGCCTATAATCCCAGGACTCAGAAGGCTGAGCCAGGAGGATCACCAAGAGTTCAAGGCCAGCCTGAGCTTTATAGTAGGTAAAAGGCCAGCCTGAATTATCTAGGGAGACCCTGTCTCAAAAAACAAAGACAGACAGCATGCAGCTATCAAAAGTCTGGTGAAAGGTTGATGAAACTTTACAACAAAGGCCAAGAACAAATTAAGAGGACAGAAGTCCAAGAATGTATTTCATATAGCTAGCCAAAAACACTAACTCAAAAATCAAAGCAAAACCAATCACAACTAATTTTAAAAAGATAAACATTGTGAATAATGAAAAAGTTCACAGAATAATGGTTTTGTAAAGACTCAGAGGAACTTGCACACTTTCTGAAAAAGGCTTACTCTTGAACATCTGGAGAAAGAGCTAATCAATCAGCACCATCATGAAAATGAACCAGTTAATGTTGATGAAGCTGCAAGATTAATGGTTCAATTGTAATACAGTGGAGATGTATCAGATTCCCCCAAAAAACTCAATAAAATAAGTACTTTATTAAAAAAAAAACCAAACACATACATACACACAGGAAAAAAAAAAACCAAACAAGAATATCAAGCACTACACAACATGGTAGCCTTCTTCTATAATCACAGCAATCTGGGAGGCTGAGGGAAGAGGACAGTAATCATGGGTCCAGCCTGGGCAACTTAGGAAGACCACGTATAAAAATTTTTAAAATTTAAAAAGAGGCATCTTTGGTACCAGAAAATAAAATATATCAAGCAACCTGGACTGGTGGTGCATCCCTATAATCCCAGTACTCAGGAGGCTAAGGCATTTTAAGACTTTCAGAAACCTTAAGAAAACCAGTAACATTATCCAAGTAAACTAAACTTCAAATGATATAGCTGAATTATTTCCAAAATAGTAGAATTCAGCTTCAAAACACTTTTACTGAATTTTTTTGGCATTCTTCAAATATTTGATGAATTCATATATTTAATTAGATGTACAATGACTGCAAGTAAAAAAAAAAAGTACAAATTAAAGCAAGTAATTTTTCTACCTTTAAACTTTGATAAAGACTAAAGATACTGGCCCAGCATGGTGATGCCTGCCTGTAATCCCAGCACTAGGGAGGCTGAGGCAGGAGGATCACTGTGAGTTCGAGGCCAGCCTGGGCTACAAAGTGAGTTCAAGGACAGTTTGACTGCACAATAAGACCTTGTCACAAAACAAAAAGGACTAAAGATACTGATACTTGATAGGTAAGGTAGAACAATAATGTACTCTTTCTTGAACAGTTCTAGTGAACATGCCTCTATTTGAACTTTTCTACAAAGATATTTGACAACAGTTTCCAAGTTTTAACTGCTACACAGTTTTTGATTCAGCAACTCTACGTTTAGGCCTTTATTCAAATAAAATATTCTAACAATTATCCAGACATGTATCTACAGACAAGGGTTAAGAGAATAAGGAAGAATAACGTATCATTTAGAACACTATCAAAGCACATCCATAAAGGAAGCACTATGCAGATAATTATACAGATACACAAAGAGGTCCTTGGTGTAAATAAAGTAAGCTATCAGTGAACAATATATAATTAAATATCTTTTTAAAGTTCAAATAGGAGCCTGTGTGTATGTGTGTGTGATGAAGAAAGTGCTAGTAGTTATCTAATGAAGACACTTAATTTGACTAAATGTTTATATCTTTCTGCATTGCTTTTCTAATTAGAGAAAAACAATAATTCGTTTTTTCCAGACTAAAAAAATTCCATAGTATAAAAACTCAATTAAGTAAAAAAAACAAAAAACTCAATTAAGTTCACTAATATGAATGCTGTATATTACACAATTGTTAAAGATAGAATCCTATTCTTAAAGGTTAGCAAAAGAAAAACTCTAGAGGATCTAGAAAAACTACACAAATTATAGTTGGCACAATGTGTATGTATGTGTAAGTATATGTGTAATGTATGTCTTTACACAGCCAGATGTAAAGGTGTTTCATCATTACAAAGGAGCCAGCTTTCTATGCAAAATATTTGAGAAAGAGAGAAACATCCCCTTTCATTCAACAAAGGATATATCTCAAGCAAACCTTGGCTGTGAACACTACACAAACAAAGAATTCATCTATGAAGAGGAATTAGGGTATGAAACCTTTAAGGAGGCAGTTGGTCTATACTATCATAAACATGAAAGAGATTATTGGATTTTGTACAACATTCTTCAAATGCACATATGCTGTATTTCAAAGTAAACCAGATAATTATAAAAGATTTCTGAAAATCTTCTGACAACCTCTATCATCCATATTTTGCCACTTGTAAACCATGTCTAAAGAAATCCTAAAAGGATTTCACATTTTAATAACCAGAAAAGCAGCTTTGAAGGCTAGCTTGTTCAAAATCACAACCCTTTAGCTTTGAGAAGGACTACCAACACAACTTAGTAAAAACAAGTAAGTGTTATTTTTTTTAACAAGTATATTAATGCAAGGGACTGATACTTCCATTTTGTCACCCAACAAAACATCATAAAACAAAAGTTTCAGTAATGATGATCATGTTAAAGATTTTCCTTGAGCCCACTATCACCACTCCTGTTCAATATAGTTCTGGAAACATTAGCCAAAGAAATTAGAAAACAGAAAGAAATAAAAGGAATAAAGATAGGAAAGGAAGAATTTAAAACTGTCATTATTTGCTGATGATATGATACTTTACATAGAAGACCCAAAAAACTCCGCCAAAAGACTTCTAGACTTAATTGACAGATTCAGTAGAGCA